ACCCTGTATATGGTGAGAGTATTCTCCATCGTGTGCTTACTAATCGCAGATTTAGAGTGTTTGACGCAGTTGTGTTTGAATATGACGAGACGACGTGACTGTTACCGAACAGCGTGGTTGAAAAAGATACTGTTAAGATACTATTTCCTCTATTATATACCTATCTAACGCAGACACAAGAATGTTTGAGATACCGAATGAAAGTCCCTGATGGATTCTCAACAACATAGTCCTCCCACCAGTACAAAAATGAACATTCATTTCAAGTACCCAACTGTTTGTGTGTGAATTGTTCTCCAACTAGCAAAACCGGTAAACAAACTACCCGAAGCACTCACCAGTGTGAACGAGATGGTGTTTCTGTAGATGGGCCAGTTGGGTGAAGCTCTTGGTGCAGACGTTGCACTTGAACGGTCTCTCGCCCGAGTGCGTCCTCAGGTGGACCTTGAGGTTCGAGAGCTGGCCGAAGGTCTTGCAGCAGACGTTGCACTCGTAGTGCATCTTGCCGTCCTTCTTCTTGAGGGGGTAGGGCAACGACCTGTAGCCCCTGGAGCCCTGGGAGTTGGGGCTCAGGGAGCCGCTCTGCGAGCAGCCGTGGTCGTCCGGCGACAGGGAACTCGCGGGCGAGTATCGGTTCAGTGACGAGGGGTTCGCGTGGATGGTCAGTCCCGGATGGTGACCCAGGTGGAGATTGTGCGTGCCAGCGATCAACGCTTGGTTGGTGTCGATCTGCATGGTGGAGGAGGTGGGCAGCTGGTGGCTGCTGGTTGCGGCCTCCAGCCTCCTGCCGTCCGGCCTCTCGTAGACGACGTTGCCACTGGGTGTCGGCGAGTAGGCGGTGCAGTTGATGGTCAAGGGTGCCACGTTGTGGTGCAGCGAGCCGTTTTGATGGTAGATGCCGTAAGGGTAGGACGAGGGCGATTGGATGGGCGAGATGGGCGAGACGCTCTGGTTGCTGCTCACCGTTGAGCCCGGGTACACCTGGCTGGATTCAATCTGACAACCGCCCGAGCTGGAGTAGAGGATCGTGGGGGTGGACGGTCCCGTGGGGTTCGCGGATGGCGACGGGCTCTTGGTCTTCCTTTTAGCGGGGCAGCTCGTCGTGGAGGAATGGAGGTTGCTGGTGGACGTCAGTATCGTGCTGGAGGAGAGGACGTTCGCGGCGGTGTGGTGGTTGCTCGCGTTGCTGGACGAATGGATGCTACCGGGATGGGACTGGAGGACGTTGGGCCCTGTGCTGGAGTGGAGGTTCCCCGTGCTCGAGTGGAGGCTCCCCGTGCTGGAGTGCAGGTTGCTGGTGGGGCTCTGCATGGGGAGGGCGCTGTTCCCGCTGGTAGAATTGACGCATGCGTCCGCTTGCATCGGTAGGTTCGAGCTGGAGTCGGGGCTGCAGGGGAGGATGTTTCCGTAGCGATGGGACTTCTTGTAAGAATACGCCATCTCCGTGGGGCTGGATGGCGGTGGGGTGACGGAGTCCAGATGGGTCTGGTGATGGATCTGGTGGTGCTGGTGGTGTTGCTGGACGCCGTTGTGGTGGTGGTTGTGGCTGTTGTTGTTGTTGTTGTCGGTGCTGCTGCGGAGGAGGATGTTCTCGAGAATGGAACTGCTGGGGCTGGTTAGGTAGGCTGGCCTCCCGGAAACGGGCATGTTGCCCTTCGCTTCGGGCTCGTAGAACGGTTTCGGGGCCTTCTCTATCTCGTCCTCGTTGACGGTGGACAGAACGGAGTTTTTCTGGAGGATCACGGGGGACATGGGCTTCTGAAGCTCCGGTGTCACCGCTCTGCTCGAGAGCTCCTGGTCCTTGTCCTTTCCGTTCCCCTCTAGGCTCTTCGCCGCCTGGAAGTTCCCGTAAGTCTTCGTGATCTTGATCTTCACCTTCCTGTACTCGTTCTTCGCCGCGGCGTTGTCCTGCTTGAGCACCTCGTTGGCGCACACGGACGTCTTCGCGTTCTTGCTGAAGTCCAGCACGTAGTTGTTCTCCGAGTCGGACTCGCTGCTCTCCTCGGGGGGCGTGAGGATCTCGTCGTGGTAGTTGGAGTGGTAGCCCTCGTCCGATCTGACGGAGCCGTCGGTAGGGGTCATCTGCGAGCGTCGCTCGTAGATCGACGAGTCCTTCAGGGGCGACACCACGTCCACGCTCGGGGGGATGATCTCGGTTGGTAACGCCGATTGTTGTACTTGTTGTCCTGGTAAGACGAGGCGTAAGGTTAGCTTTTGGAAGATAGATAGAGAGAGGAAGATAGAGGGAGGGAGGACACGGTACTCACGTATTCTTTGAAGCATCAGTTCGCCCGTTAGGGGGTAATTGAGCCTTTCCGCGAACTCTCGGCAGTACCACACCATAAGTTCTTGGTTCGGTAGTATCGGCTTGATTGTGTAAAAATAAATGTTCATCTGGAAAGGAAGAACACGTTTAGGGTCAGGTGCTCCGAACAAGAAGATGTTTTGAGAGAGTTATATCGACGCACCTTATACTGGCATGCTATTAGGTTCTGCGATTCGGACGAATAAGCCGGGTTTACGTAACGCATCCAATTCGATTTCTGCACGTCGTAACCGTCGATGTAGTAGAACAGCTCGTTGTTCTTGTACACCTGTCGGAACAGAAACGTAAAAATCGGTTGCGGACGTTGTGGCGTCGTTGGTCCCATTGGTTCTAGCAGTGTATAAATCGTCAGGTAATTGTTAGGGAGGCCTAGCAGTCTGGGTGTGTCAGGACTTTAGGTTCTATAGAAGTTTAATTGGTCAACTCTCTGGGTTCTAGAAATCTTCTAAAGTTCTTGACTCTCTAAATTCTAGAAGTCTAAGTTCTCAGCTCTCTAGGTTCTACAAGTCTAAGTTCTCAGCTCTCTAGGTTCTACAAGTCTAAGTTCTTAGCTCTCTAGATTCTAGAAACCTTACTTCTTAGCTCTCTAGGTTCTAGATACCCAAGTTCTGAGCTCTCTAAGTTCTACAAGTCTAAGTTCTTAGCTCTCTAAATTCTAGAATCCTTACTTCTTAGCTCTCTAAATTCTAAAAGTCTAAGTTCTAACCTCTCTAGACTTTAAAAGCCCAAGTTCTCATCTCTCTAGATCCTAAAACCCTAAATGGTAAGCGTCTGATCTATCTTCACTCCAGAGTTCAAAGTGACCACAATCTGATCTCCCGCAGGTGTTAGCAGCATAACTAACCCCTTTCTGCTCAAGAAACTCCAATTTTCGTCTCAAATAATGAGAAATCTGGTGGACACTGTTCGAACCATCCGGGAAGACAAAATGCTAAGTCGTGGACGTTCGAGGCAGTCGACCTGGAGGCTAGCCAGGAAATATCGGCGATTTAATAGGGAGGATCGAGAGAGAACCCAAGTTCGCTATCGTAACTCATCAATTCGTTACGAGGCATCAATGGCTTCGCGGGTTTCGCTTTAAGGCTCGCTAGATCGGTTGAAACCAGTTTCTGGTCTTTGCTGGCTTCTCCCCCTTATCCTTCCTTTTTTCTCCGTTGCGTCTTTAGATATTTCCTTTTTTTTCCTCCTCTCGTCATACGCGAGAGAGATAACCGTGGCTCGCGGAATAACTGCCGCGAACGGTCCCCGAACGGCCGCCGATGAGCGATTCTTACCCTCCAGAAGTACTTCCGGTTCGCGTCGGCTGGTACAGAATCCTTGGTGTACACTTGGCCCACCAGAGGGCCAAATCTCGTCCCTTTGGGGATGTAGCTCGTGCTCCATACTCCCAAAGCCTGCAGGAAGCCAAACGACTGTCGATTAGGCTCGTCTTACAAATTTTCATGCGGTGCGAAAGCTTAGTATTCGTTCGACAGTTCAGTATTCGAATAGCAGTCGAAATTCGATATTCGAAAACGCCCAGCCCTGCTCAGTAGCGCTACTACAGTAAAGATTGGATAAGTGCAAGACAGGATCGATTGGATAAATGCAAGATGACTATCCCCACCACTGGGGAGGTTCACAGTATTGTAAATATATATATGTATTAACAAATGGATTGTTGACAGTAAAGACTAGATAAGTGCAAGATGACTAACCCCGTCACTAACCAATTGACACGTTTCTGCCGATCGCTTTTTCCCCCGGAACTCTTTCTCTTTCACTCTTTGTCCTTTTCTACGTTCGACTCGAGTCAAGTGTAAACACAGAATAGAAGCCTCGACATTTATCCCGTCTTTACTGTATTTGGTACGAAACGATACGAGAAGGGTTTATCGCGAGAAAATTATTTAAAATATTGCGCATTCGAGCGGATGGGACGAAGGAGAACCGTCTCCCTTCTATTTTGAACATCGAGCTTCAACGAAGCAGAGGTTCGGTCCATAAAGCGTTTTTGTCGATTCATTTGGCGTTCCATTGCGCCCCATATTAAGCAGTTCTGTCCGGCAGAATGTTTCCGAGCGTTTCGTCTACTCCAGCAATGAAAGAACCTCGCTCGTATTCGCAGGGAAACGTTCAAGATCGTTCGACACCGATTCGAAACGAGCTGTTCGTAGTCGCGCTGGATGAAAAGTTATCGGAAACCGTTTCGTATGCATATGCATCTCGCTCGATCTCGGGCGATCTCTTTACTCTAATTTGTTTCCGATCGAGAAACTTCTCGACCCCAATTTTGTCAGTGCTCCTCTGCGAGGGAGGAACGCGAATTTAAGCAACCCAACGATCTTTTTCCGTCTATGTGTCTTTACCGTAATCATTTTTAGAATTTCCCGTATTCTTCGTTATACTCGAAAGTAAGCTAAAAATAAAATCGAGGTTCGTTTAAATTTGGCTACGTCGGTCGTGGCGCGACCAAGGCTATCGCTCTCGATTCTCGTCGTCGATGAAAGTGTAACGATTTACTTCAGCTCTAGGTCACGCTCGCTAAATTGATTAGCTTCGTTCCTCTATCGAGCTCTATTCGACGGAAATCCTTCGTACGCGATTGTTCACTTCGACCCGTATCGAACCGAAACGTTTCACCGTGATTTCCTACTCGAGGTCCTTTCAAAGTACCCCCATACAGGGTGTTAAAAAATCCATTTATATGGTACAGTACTACTCGCGAGCTTGCAACGAATGAATAATGTAAATTGGTAAAGGTACATTTCGCGGAATGTGGTTCACGGTGATTTTCACGACCGTGACAAGGAGCTCGAGGGGGATTTTCCAAGGCTGAGGCGACTCGGGGTGCAAGTTTTCATGATTCTAGCGACTCTCACCAAGGAGGTCTCGAGAAATGATTCTTTGGCGGAGGAACGTACATCGTTGAGGGCCTGAGAGGGCTTGAGGACCAAATTTCTCGGCAGGGACGCTTCCGCGCGATTGGTGTCGCCCGACGACGCCGCCACATCCGGTACCAAATACACGGCATGCTGCTCGAATTCCTCTTCCCTCAAGGTCGCGTGATCCCACTCGCTGGCCTCCATCCTTCACTGAACAGAAAAATTCCAAGAAACATTAGGTTAATATTCTTTTCGTTTTTATTTATTTTTGTTAGTTTTCAGAGGGATCGAGATTTATTTTCTCGCGGTAGACACGAATGTCAACGTGGATAAATAAATGTCTCTTAGGCCACTGTTGACATCTCGCTCTCGAGATAAGAATTTTCGCTCAAGGATCTTCGTACAGGCTGTCTCCGAATTAGTGTAAGAAACGTAAATGGGTTGATAGCTGGGATGCTTCTGAACCACAATTTCTTTGCGAAAATGCACAATACATGAAATTGTTTTTATTCAGAAGCTTCTTACTAATATAATTAATTGTGCACCTCTTCTTGGACTTGTGTCCTTTCACATTCCTCCCGGGACCATTAGGTCGTCATATCTATTTCATCAATATGTTTCCTCGTCTAGATACTGTCACCTCAATACTGTTGTCCGTGCCTGCGCTACAGTTAATTGCTTTAGTTCGGACAGCGATATGTTTATTGACTCTAACGACTCTAGTAAACATAGGCTACATAACCTTTTTATCGGTAATTCTGCTATTCACCGACGATAACTTTGTTATGATTGTTTGTTTGTTTGTAAATTTTTGTTTGTCTTTACATCTGTCAACCGTGATTGTTTATAATTGCTACACTGTATTAATTTCATAATGGGCTATGCCCGTATATATTGAAATAAATAAATAAATAAATAAAATATTGGTCGATGGTATTTCGTTAATAATTCAACAACGAAACTATGGTTCAGAATCGTCTCAGCTACCCTCCATTTTTGGTTCTTACACTAATTCCGGGATATTCTGCATATTTGACTTCCTAGCAAAAATAATGCTTGGATTTCGTATTAAATTAATCAGGAATTAGAAATCTCCATGCCTTTGGATTTAACCCTTTGATCTACGATGTACTATAGGATCGTGAATACTATAATCGGCTATAAAATTCCTTGGGCCCTTTCGTACGAAATTCTCTACTACGAGTCTCTACTCACGAGCCACACTTTGTTACAGGTTAAAGGGTTAAATACCATTCCCAAAGATTTAATATTCATCTAGACACCGTTACCCGCGAGTTGTTTACCAAATCCTTAGCGCACGTACAAGCACCGTTATTTTCGAGTTCCGAGAGCTACTAAGTTCTACTAACTTCGCCACGCCTTCCTTTCGATTAATTTCGTGATCGGGTGACGCGTATCTCGAGTACTGTTCCTCGAATCCGCGTCATAATTTCCCTCGGGATCGCTCGTCTATAAATTTCGAAACCGCCGATTATCATACTTTAACGTAACATTACATCGTGATAGTTCGTGCAGGTCTAACCCCGCGACGCGAGGCGCATTCCAATCGTCGTTTTGTACGTAATAAATAATCGCGTTGCAGGCACTTATCGAGGGTAACAGCGTACGATAATGTAACCGCGAGCGCACGCAGAATTTTCGAGCCAACTTCGGTAATGGGGGACTTTTCCGACGAAGAAACGCGGAAATTGCGGTATTATTAGAATCGGGATGGAAGTACCGATGCATAATAACGCTCGACAACGCGGGACGTTATAAATATAGACGCGATTCTCGTGAATCGATACGATCAATAGCTCCTGAGAGGCGTCAACTTCGAAAACTATGAAGAAGGGTCGCTCGATCGCGTTTAACGTACCCCCCCCCTCCCCGTATATATTTTAGGGGTACAAATGGTAGGAATAAATTTCGTGTTAGGTTGAAACAAAGATGACTGTCGATTCATGACTAGATTGCCGATCTTTATGGAAGATAAAATTAAACCTAACTACGAATTTATTTTATTGTAAATAGTATAACGTGAACTTTACTTTCAATCTTTTTTATATTCTTACATATTTGTTGCATTTTGTAGGTTCGTGCACATTCAAATTTCCTATAAATGCATCAAGATCCGCAGTCGTGACTGTGTTGTCCTGCAGGTCATTATCACTGTATATACAGTCAGTTCCATAAGTATTAGTACCCTCAATATCTATCGAAATTATTCTCGTAAATTAAACGATAGACAGGCTTTATACGTATATATATTTACAATAAAAATTTATTTGGAAACATCGAAATTTGACATTTAATTCAGACTATTTAATTTAGGGACTGACTGTATATTAAACAATCTGTCCGCAAATATGAACGAACGAAATTTGCATTCGCTCTACAGTAATGTCTCGTTAGACGCACAAGCTCGGGACTGACCTTGTGCAGTTATCATAGAGTTCGTATATTCTCCGACGATATATTTACTTGCAACAACTTATTATGTAGAACACTAACTAAAAAAAGATGAACGGTAAATATCGTCCGAATTATATCGCGTTTGGTATCGTTTTAACGACAAAAAAGTTGATAATAAAAATGTTTCATCGTTGCATTACATTGTTTCACCGACATCCCTTGTCCACGTTCGACGATCGTCTGCAAACATCAAAGAATATACGAAACTCGACGATCGAACTCCTGCCCTCAGGGGCTGTAGCTATGTTTGATTGTAGCTACAGTACGGGCTTAGCAACCCCGAGGTACCCGAGCTAAACGGGGGGCAGTGGGCAGTATTAAAACAATGCAGGAGTCACGTAAGACGATGATAAGAAAAATGGAAATAAGCTAGTAATAAATAAGCAGTCGTGCAATAATTTTGTATAATAAGTTACGCACTTTAAATAAATGAATGAATGAATGATCGAACTCATTGGCCTCTCAAGAGGTATACCCGCCAGAGGTGGAGCTGGATAAGTCTGTGCACTTATCCTGGACAAAGATGTGCGTCTGACGAGATATTACTGTATGCTGAAATAAAATCCTCGTAACAGTCATATCGTACGGTAATATAACAGATATCGTGTGTGTCGTGATGCAGTGGATGGCAGTGAAAGTACCATAAGTGGCGGTTGTATTCGCCCAAGTACCTAAACACTTTCAGACTGGGAAGACGAATCGTCGAACATGGAACAAGAAAACGATCGAGCCCCGACACTTCAAGATGGAATCAGCGTCGAAGACTGAACTTGCTCGAAATTGTCTTAAAGCAGGAACGACGGAACCGGGAGATTCGTTTCCAGCAAAAAATATCGTGTTCCCTCCGTCGCTGACAAATGAAACTCATTATGCAAATGAGACACCGCACGGCTAAACATTGCACCGTGTAACACGGTTATAACGTCTACTGAGCTACGTCTACTTAGCTACGTCTACTCAACTGCTCCAGAAGTTTCCTAACTAAGAAAATCTCCGACAGAAAGGATAACGCGTCACTCGAATCCGAGGACTGCGCAAAGAACACGATGAAGCTATACTACGATGCAAAGGTAGTCCAAACGGAACCAAAACGGAACATGGTCGCCAATGAACGCGAAATCTATGCCTAATTTAAGATACAGTCAGTCCCATAATTCGTACCCCTCTATCTCCGTTGAACACATTAACCGTTTGCACTTGAGAGGTGACTCTCACCATTAGGTTTCACGCAGTAAATCTACAATACCTAACGTGTCTTTAGGTTTAATTTCTTTAGAGATTGAAGTGTCAATAAAATGATTGTCGGCGAGGTAAAGGTGATCTTATTCTCAAATCTATTAGATTGTCCTAAAAGTTTCTTTCGTGAATTGCATTCAATTATTTCCTGTGGCAGTGTTTATATAAATAGACAATCCAATTTCTTAGGCATTGTTGCTGTAACAGTAACGGAGCGAAATGAATTGTACACAATTTTTTAATGTAACGTAAAACATAAAATATCGTGTATGAATTAATTATTAATAAAACGAAAGAAACTTTTGGGGCAATCTAATAGATAGCTTAGAATTCATGGCAATAGAATGCTAAGAAACATCTCGAGTTGCTGGCAGATACCAGAAAAAATGGCCTCGAGTGCAAAGGGTTAATTAGGGTTGTGCATCAATAAGCAGGCAGCTCCATTTTTTCAAATTCTTCTCCTTATTTCATCACAAAACGAAAGGAACTTTTCGAATTCGTGATTATGTTCTTAACCTCAAAACCATAAAAAAAATGGAGTTACCTCCTTATCGCAGACCACCCCCTCATTTGTCTAAATTAAATGGTGAGCTCGATACTTCCAAACAAACATTTCATTATGAATATGTACACGAATAAACTTCAGAAAGTATATATTTATAATGATAGATTGACATCGAAGCATCGAACCTATCATTTAATTTGGACAAATTTCTTCGATGAACATAGAGGGTACGAGTACTGACTGAGTGCAAGTCCAACCCTAAATAGTTGTACAGGTGAAATTGCAGGTGCAACACGAACCTGCGAATCTTTCAAAGCACGATTCACCAAAAGATGGCGATTTTTTTTTTTTTAACGAAAATAAATATCCACCGATGGGGCGAACGACCGTGGAATTTTCATCGTACCCGATCATTCGTGTTTTCCACGCGTGCGGTACCGCGAAAAACGAATTTTTTCTGGCTTCTGAATCAACGATGGCGCAACACTTTAACACCGCGAAAGTGAAACCCGTCCACGCATTGATCGACTGCAGGGGCGAGTGGCGGGAGGGGGACGGGGCATAAACTACGAAGTCCGCCGCCCCCTCACACCCTTCTACCCCCCTACCGCCCCCGTCGACGCGACCGCCCAGCCAGCGGGGGTTTTCGCTACTCGTTGAATTTCCATTTCCGTGGAAATCGCGCACTACCACCACCGCCTATCCCATCCCCCTCTTTCACCCCATCCCCCCCCCCCCCGTTCACTATTCGTTAACTTTCCGCGTAACTTTTTGCTTTCCCTCAGCCACCCCCGTCGTTCCAACCCCTTCGATTCAGAGGATTTTTCTACACCCTCGCGTTTCATCGGTTCATCGGCGATGTTAGTCGTTCCCCCTCGATTCATTCATGTTGTTCTCGTACGTAGGGGGCGGGATGAGTGGGTGGGTGTCTCTTTGTTTTCATTTTCTTAAGGGGACGGAAAACGTGTCTGTGATTCTTTTGAGGAAATTCGTCGTGTTGTCTTTGTTCTTTATTTTTCGAGCGTTAGCCACTGTCATCGAATCGAAGCATTCGAGGCTTTCACATTTGGGGATTTTAGACGACGATGCCTTTTTCATTTCGAACGGTTTATATTTTTAATTTTCGGTTTCGATCGTCCTAGATAGGTATTAACCCTTTGCGGTCGTATGTCTACTCTCAGCCACCAAAGCCTTTTTACGGTTCCGATCGTACGTCTGCTTTCAGCCACTACAACAAGAAACTATCTGTATTCATTCCGACCAGTGCGACACCCGTGACCAACTTTAATACGTCCGAAAAGGGTTAAATTGTGATTGTACGGGACTGAGAAAATTCTAAATGAATTTCCAGCAGAAATCCTCGATATCTCCATATTTCTCCACGTATTTCTTTTCATTTAACGCGAGTATTCCGTAAACCCTGAGACCAACCGACGAACCTAACCCCAATAATTTAGAGAGCCATATTCGAAGCCAAGCCACGGAACGAAGTCATGGGAATGCTGGTGGTGAATGATTAGGGGAGTTGGAAGTCAGAACGCGCAGGGCATTGCGCTAACTTTTGGTGAATGACCGTTGCACTCGGCAGTGTGCTGGGCCGAGGCTCTCGACAAAATCGATGCTCGTAAAGGGCATGTGCAATGTTTCCCTCGCAGCGTTTCATTTTCACTCGCAAAATCGTGTCCCGGGGAATTCCATTCAACTTGAATTCCGCTCGGCCAAAACTTACTGGAAAAGTAGTATTCTATTCTCGAACGTTCGCGAGACACTTTCGATCTTGCGATGAAAGAAGTTGCCGGGTATTATTTAATTATTGTTTCGATGCACGCTGCTCGGAAATTGATTTATGTACGAATGTGTCTTCCGATCGTGGAATTATTGAGAAACTCGAAGGTCCGGTTTCCCGATATAAATGCACGTAGAGCCATTAATCTCTAAACGTACAGTAATGCATGATGAATAAACTCAGCTTTTCGCCATTTATTCGACCGATTAAATCTTCATCTACTCATTGTGTAATATTTCTGTTCACGTTTCGAATTTTATCGAGTGTTCCAGTGTGTAACAGATGAAAATGTGTTACTTGCATCATTAATTCGTCATTCAAGACGATTATTCAACCGTGGATTAGTCGAATACATTTCCTACTCTTCCAGAGTGGCGTATTATCTCCCCAATTTAAATTCAATATATCCCAGACAAAAAGGTATGTTTACCTTTAATCCATTATTCGAAGCTTTTATTCAACCGCGAATAATTACTCAAATAAATTTCCTACTCTTCCAAAGTGGCGTACTATCTACCCAATTAAAATTCAAATTTAAATTCAATATATCCCAGACAAAAGTTGTCCATGTTTACCTTTAATCCATTATCCGAAGCGTTTATTCGACCGAGTATTTACTCGAATAAGTTTTCTCTCATCCAACACGAGGCACCTCGCAATTAAAATTTCAATTTCAACTCGCTAGATGAAAATTTATCTTTCCTTTCTCGTTCCGAGACGTTCGCCCAACCGAATAATTCCTCGAATGACTTTCCTTGAAACATCGGAGTTCGAATTCGATATAAAACGAGCGAAACAGCGTCCGTCATTCCAAAGTGTCGTTCGAGCAAGAAAATTTCGCCCATGTTCGCGCAGTACTCACGCCTTTTGGTGCATCGGTTCGCGCGACCAGCTCCTTCGAGTCCGCGTTGCGGTTGGTCACGGTGCTGGTGGCCCGGAGGGTTGATTTTCGTTGCGGATAAAAAATGAAACGGTCACCCCTCGTTTCCCCTTCTACGTGATCCTGTGATTTCTCAGGGAGATCGGCATCCCGCCGAGTCTGTGGACACCCGGGACCCACGGCCGGCCTCGCGTTGAGGGACGTAACGCGCCGGTGTTGCTCAACATTTAATTAACCGAATTGCACCACCCCCGTTTCACGACGAGGCGCAAAAATTCGTCGAGCGTCGATAAGGCCGATCGCTGCCGGCTCCCCCACGCAGAACCGGTCCTCTCACCACCTATTCACGACGCTTCTATCGATTATCAGGACATCGAGAAAACGAAATTGGTTGGAACCTGGCGCTGCCGTTGCACCCGGATCAACCGTTGGACCACTCTCTCCCTTCTCGCTGTTTATCAACAACAATCCCTCCGAGTAGCACCTCGCGGTCCCAGACCCCTTCGATCCGCACCACCCCCGCGCTCCCCCACCTCCTACACGATTAACCAGAATCGTTGATATTCGTCGTGAACTATCCGTGGATCCACACGTAACTCTCTCTTTCTCTCTGAATTCCTCACGGAAACGCACACGCGAGCCACTTCCGACGCACTTCACCTCCTTCGGTCTAACCACCCTCTCCACCCACCCCCGTTTTTACTTTCCCAGGTGTAACAACCGGCGGGTACCGGACGCACGAAACACCGTCGCGGACCGTTTGCGAACGATCGGGACGTATCCTCGTCGAGGACGAGCCTCTCTTCGTGCCACCCTTATCCCTCGATCACTGGGGATCGCGGTTTGCCGATCGTTCGACGAACCGCTCGAAGCACACTTAACGACCGTTCGTTTCCCGCTGACCGTAATCCGAAAAATGACACCTGACGCGAAGAGAGGGCGGCTCGGACACGAGGGTCCCGCGATTTCGCGTTTTCGCGACCCGTTTTTGTTGTTTTTTTTTTTTTCGAAGGTGGCCTCCGCCTTCGGGGTCTACTTCGGATGGCACACGCAGAGAGCGGTGTGTGGAACTCGGGTAGACCTGACCTAGCCCAACGCGAGTCGGCTTGGCTCGTCCTCCCCCTGCGTCGGTATTGGTCGCTGGCTATCCCTCTCTCTCTCCGTCCTGCTTCCCTTTCTAACGAACGCGGACGCGGTGGTGTGCCAGCAAAGCTGCCAGACCAGAGCAGAGGTGGTGCATTTCTCTGCGCTGCGCTTTCGATCGACCCGTTGCCAGAGGTTCCCTTCCCTCAGCCCCTCTACAGGCCCCCTGGCCTCTCTCCCTCGCCCTCCGAGAGCCGTCTCTCTTCATCCATCGGCCTGTCAGCTGGCCCTCCCTCTTCGACCAACGCGTCTCTCTTCGTCCGTCCCCTACCACCGCGTAACGTCTCGTCCTTGTTCATCTACAACGGGCATCCTCGTCCTTCCCACCCCTTCGCGGCAGCTCTCGTGCATTTCCCTCTTTCGTCCTCCTCGCTCTCGTTGCCTGCTTCGCCGCCTCTCCCTCGGCCACGCTCTCGTTTACCCCTTTCAAACCCTCTTGCTACTCCACCGCGTGCAACTGTGGCCCCCTCTCTTTCCCTCACACTTCGTATATATGTATATTTATTTATATATATATGACTATATATATTTTTTATATTTTTTATTTTATTGTCTTTTCATCATTTCCGTTTGTGCGGTTCGTTGTGTAGTCACATTTTCAATTTTTAAGCATCGAAGTATCAGGGCGAGTCGGTTTTTTGAGAATTCGCGGTAGCGTGATTGATTGATAAAAATTGGGAAGGAAGTAGATATTCGTGGATGGTGTTCTGCGAGGGGACTTCGATGTTTCATGCATCTTCTGAGAATTGTCTTGGTTTCGACCAGCTGATGAGAAATCGTAAGACGGAAGTGGAAAGTTAATATTTGTTCGGGGGGAGGGGGGTATTTAAATAGCGCACCGGGAATTGTGGATACTTTTCTGATTGAATGTTGATACTTGAAGAGTAGTGTTTGGGTAATTGTGTTTGAGTAGCGGTATTCGAACGGTGGTATTCAAACGGTAACATGCAGGCTATGGTGTTCGAATAGCGGTATTCAAACGATAATATCCAAACTGTAATGTTCGAGAAGAGGTATTTGATTTATGATATCCGAACAATGGTATTCGAATAGGGGTATTCAAACGGTAACATTCAATCTATGATGTTCGAATAGGGGTACTCAAATCCTAATACCCAACCTATAATATTCGTAAAGAGTTATTGGAATTATGATATTCGAACAGTGATATTCCAAAAGAGGTGTTCGAATAGTGATACTCGAGTAACGATACTCTACAAATAATGTATTTCGAGAAGGGTTCAAACGGAAAGTAAAAAGTACAAAGGTCCCGTGGAATCGTTCGTGGGTACACACGAACGAGCGAATAAAAATAGCGAGCGATAAAAAAAATGTTACACAAAAAAAAAAGTGTGAAAGCACATCGAGTGGGGGTTGTCGGTTAAAAGTGCAAGTAGCCAATAAGGTAGCGCGCTTAATTATCGTCGGGATCTTGATTCCTAGGGTGAATTCGAATGGGTTTCGCAAGACGTCTCGGTTTTGGCGCGGGGGGGAAGAGGGGAGGGGGGGGGGGGTGTGGTGGTGGTTTATGTAACGTGTAAAATCGATAGGGCGAGCCGGCGGGCGAATGATCCAAGAAAAGAAGCGTTTACCCTCTGGCACGCAATTAGGAGCGAAGAATATTGGACTGCGGGAACGGACGGAATACGGAACAGGCCGCGTGAAAATGTCACCTGACGTTTAATACGATTTAGAGGGCTGCACTTATCGCGGTGGCTGCCTCAGACGTTTCGCGGTTCATTTAATTCGACGATCGAGGCGGAGGGGAAATGTCGTTTCATGGGGTCTCTCTAGGACGGGAGAAAAGAAACGTTGACCGAAACGGAACGAAATAAAGGACGAAGCGAGAAGAAAGGGACACGCTGCTTCCAGCAGTCATTTTTTAATAAATTTTCGTCGCTGCCTTTGAATGTTCAAAAAGCGGGATAACAAACAGAGTCTCTCTTAAACCGTGCCCGTAAAGCGACGTTGGTTATGCCTCTGTTTACAGAAATAATCCGCATTGTGGTAGAATTAAGCGGTCTGTTTTGTCCGTAGAACGTTTTCAACCCCCTCGTTTTATCGTTACGCGTGTGTTTTTCACCGTGGGTGAAACTGCACGGTCCAAAACAAACTCGACATGTGGGCAGAAACAAAATTCTTCCGGTTGACGATCATAAATGAAAAGGTCTCTAGCCAAGAAAGTATTTTTTTTTATATTTGATAAATATATGATGTATAATTCTTCGTATTCCTCTCGATTTAATTTAAAAAAAAAAAATAATCGAACGACTATTTTCCGATTCGTGTGGTCGTTCGACGGGACTAGAAGACGCGCGACGACCACAGGCCGAACGATAGGGGAAACTCTAGTCAACATTGTCATCGAAGGACAATTTCTTCTGGTCTGGTAAATTTTCAAGCCAGACGGCCGTCTACAAAAATCCTGCGGTGTTTTTCTCCCGTCCTTGTTTACTCCTCCTTTGAGCGACTGGTTTTTCTAACGGTGCGTCCCTCTCGCACGGTTTCTCCGCGTCCGTTGTCCTCTCGCAACCCCTTCACGGGGACGTGCATTTAACCCCAGCGCCACCCTTTTGCTCACAACTCCCACCCTCCTTTCCCCATTCACGGCTCGGTGCATACACCGATCACGTACGAGCCGCGCGAATGTAAATCGGCCCAAATCGATCCTGACCGGTCTACAATCTCCACAATTTTCACCCCCTTCCCCTTCTCCTCCCTGGATCTTTTATCGATACGCGATCGACATCCGTTACATTACCGACACTCGAGCCGTTCAAAAATGCAAGCGTTGAATATTTATAGCTGTCCGTAGAGAGACGCTTAATTTTAACATTTAACGCTTGCATTATTTGAAAGATTGTTAAATTGAATTGTTTGGTATTTATGGTTTTTCCGTTTTCATTCGAAGAAATATCGACGACATGGTGGTATAATGCGTTTGTTTAATTTGTCTCAATCTTTTGGAATACTTTACACTTATGTTTACGTGACTCGGAGAGAAGTAGATCGATACTAATTCCTTAATTCAAACAAATACTGAAGACATCCTTATACGGGAGCCTTGAATTTTTCTAAATTTTTATTGGGATACTCAACTCTTCTATTCACATGATTTATACTATACTACACGGCCTTAAATTTGTCTAAATTTTTTGGAATACCCTATTCTGCTATTTACATGATTTTTCCTCCCTTAGAGAGAAGTGAATGAATACTCATTCCTTGATTCAAACGAATACCAAAGACATCCTTATAATGGGACCTTAAATTTGTCTAAATTTTTTCGGATACTGTACATTTATATTTACACGATTTTTCCTCCCCTAGAAAGAAGTAAATACTGATTCCGTAATTCTGGCGTCTTAAATTGTCTACATTTTTTGGGATACTATAATCTTCTATTTACATGATTTACACTATACCGGGGCCTTCAATTTGTCTACATTTTTTGGTATACCCTACTCTTCTATTTACATGATTTTTCCTCCCCCGAAGAGAATTGAATTAATATTCATTTCTTAATTCAGACAAAAACGACATCTTTATACTGGGGCCTTAAACTTGTCCACATTGTTTAGAATACCTTACACTCATATTTAAACCAACTCCTCTTCCCCTCACCTCAGAAAGTATCGAATAAATACCCCTTCCCTGGTTCAAACAAATATCGAGGACATCTTCGATACTTGGTCCTCAAATTCACTCAAATTTCGTCGAATACTTCGCGCTTGTATTTAAATAAACTCTCCTCCCTCCCAATCATCCATCCTCCCAAAACATCCCTGCAACGACTAGGATCCATCTACACATCCTAACCTCTAAATAAAAAAGTTCCATTTACCCTTATCCCCTTACCCCTTACAGTCTCAAACTAGCTATCTCAACGAGTCGGTGAAAATTGATCGGCCAACTTCCAATCCTCGCGAGAGTAATTTTTCGCGACGGTAGTTTCGGAGCACCGAGTGTATGGAATCCGCCTGGCCCAGACCCCGGGCCAGAGTCACGGCCACTCGAGATCGGTAACCCCGTTCACTTTGGCCAAACGACTGTCGCTGCGCGCGGCTCTTTTTTCGTCTACGCGTCATCGTCGACGGCCTAGCTCTTCGGCGATCATCGACACCTCGTATAACAGAGAGGGAGGTGGGTCGTCGAACTTGCGCGTACCCTAATCCCGCAGACCGGTCTCGATTCCATCTGGAAGGTTACGCGAACGATATCTGTCGCGCTGACGCTCATAAAGGGCCGATACCCATCGGGAGATAACGCGGATAACACCTTTACGCAGAGATGGACAAAACCGTAAACTTCGAATAAATCCGAAGTTTGCCGATGTGTTTGTTTCGTTTTCTCTTTTCAACATTTTCCAAAGAAGGAAACGAGACAAACACATCGGCAAACTTCAAATTTATTCGAAGCCTAGGGTTTTGCCCATCGCTGCCTTTACACCATTATAAATGAGACGGTCGTTCACCGTGAACGCCTCTACGCGTTCCCAGCGAGTAAACAAGCCTCCTCTAAAACGAATCTCCCTCTCGTAATTAACGCGGTCAGATCGACACCTTCGGCTCGGAGCGTGTCCTCGGAAGCCCGCGTATTTTTCAGCTCGGAAGTAACAAATCGCGGTCTGTTGAATCACGTATCGATGCAAGTAGTATAGGACAGCAGGGGTTTCGCGAAGTGTTGGAATGCCGAGATACGGAAGGCTCGCGTGGGAGTCGACGAAGATGGCGAGATGAGCTCGCGCGGGACCGAACGGCCGTTCGATTCTTGAGGCCGTCAGGCCGGAGCCACACTATGCGTTTTTGCCGCTGCGATTATGACGGATGCGGTCATCCGGTTTGTGACGTTGCATAGAATCAAATGAGAGGTGCTACACTAGTGCGGCGCTGCCGCATCCGTCGAACGCCACCGCAGCAGACTGCGGCACGCTGAACGCACCGGACCGTCGCATCGTGGCGGAGACATGTCGAAACACGTGTATTCATATGGCCCCTGTTCACACTACACGGTTTTCCCGCATCGTTCTTATCAATTTTTATCGTTGTGTGTCCTGTGTGTGTCCTGGTATTTCTTCTGCACTTATAGACCGTCTCAACTTTGTATTCTGTTTCGAAGTATGTGGTCTTAACATTTCTAGTAATTCATCGAATGAATTTATTGACACTCGGTAATAACTAAAAAACTTATCCTTAAAGTTGCGGATGTTAGCAAAAAAATTTTGAAATCTATTGTTTCGCTCCGAAAAAATATGGACGAACCCAATAATTCCGACGTATCGGTTCACGCAAGAACCCTTCTGCTTCCATAGCACACGTAATTCTCAAAAATTGATTCGTATTCATGTTATCGTTTTGATAGTTCAGACGAGACTGCGTTAAAATCTCAGCAATGTATCATGTAGCACCCTTCCAGTTAAATCGCGTCCGCTTTCGCCACAGCGACGAAAACGCATAGTGTGGCCCCGGCCTTAGAGGAAATCGGTGGCCGGTCCTGGAAAAATTGACGATCGCGAGCGGATAGTTGGCTCGGGTCGGACTGCTGCGCTGCTTTGACGTTCGGTCTCTAAAGGGGATTCGGTTGAGCAGCTTTGGCTAGGGCGGTGGAGGATGGCTTGTTTAAATGATGCTCGGTCGGGCCCTGAGTGTGTCACTTAGGTGAAATTTAGCTTCGAAGATCTTGTTTAATTTTGTTGTTGTTGTGTAAAAATATTGTACGGCTCGAATCCAATTCGCAAAAGCAAGATTAGCATTTCAAGTGGCTTTCGGTAGATTTCTGCTGGCCGTGCGCCACCGCGGTGTATTGACTCGCAATAATTCACTCGCGGGTGGTTCCCGAAATTAATAGAATATCGCGACGGGGCGTGATTTACTCGTAATTTCGTGGAAATGCCGGCGACGACGGAATCAAATTTATAGTAGTAATTGCGCTTTATCGGCGCCAGGGCATACCGCGTCTCTGTTCATTCGCGCCATCTTGCTTTGGCGTTCAGACAAAAGCGATTCCGCTTTAATTCCCCTCGTGCGAATTTCGACGAATTTTGTGACCACCTTTGGCTTCGCGAATTTGAAAATAATTCAGTCGAATCGATCGTTGTTAAAAATTTGCTAATAATGCGTTCGAAATTAAACGATACCTCTGGGTCAAATAATTCCATTTGGAATTTCCATTTGGAAAGTAGTTCAAATTTTAATTCGTAGAGTTCAGTTTTTAGTAGTTTATTTTGTGCCAATATATAAACCCACAATTATAAAAGTGGTCTCAAGTCAAAATTGAAAAAAAAAAGTGTGTGTATTAGTCATTTCGCATCACATTATTTTAATCTAAATTGATTGAATGTAATTTTTTTTTTCAAGAAATATGTGACAGACCACTTTCATAATTACGGGCGCGTATACAGGTGTTCGTTTCGAAAAGTGTCGAAGGAGTTCATTTCGAATAAATCACAAGTACCGAAATAGAAGTGCCTATAAATGGCCGTAACGTGGAATAATTTCTAGCGTAGAGATAAAAGAGCCTGAACCTGTTTAGTTTGAATAGTTTATAAGAGGGTCGAAATAGAAGTGTCTGTCACTAGGTGTAACATCGAATAATTTATAAAACCGTCTATTTTAAAACTTTGGAATACATCGCTTCGTTCACGAATGTTCTCGTACGCTACAAAATTTGTTTCAAATTTCTTGCACGTTTTGGTCGATACCATAGAATCTAAACGAGAGGCTTTTACAATCAAGGCAAATCAAAAACTAATCAAAACAATCTCAATTATATTCCTAAACCTCCCTCTCTAACTTAAAAAATACATCGTACGAATTCAAACTTACGTTTCTGACCATAATTTCGTACCATCTTTTATTTCGAGAATTTTTCCTGGCCCGAGCGAGTTCCTTTGTCAGCGAGATTCGATCCCCGAGCACGATATCTCGATGCGGCACCGGGAGCGACTCGCGCGGATACGTGGGCGAGGTCGTCGAACCGCAAATTCGTGTGACGAAATTTCGTCGAGCAGCGCGCCCGCACCGCTGGTCCGTCCGAAATTTCACTTTTCGAGGGACACACGCGCGCACGTGCAACCGCGTCGCAGAGGCGCACGCACACGCTAGCACGAGTCACCTTGCGAATTTCCACGTTGCCGAGCCCTCCTAGCGAAAGAA